CGCGCAGGTCACACTCACCACAAAGTCATCCACATGACCCGTCGAGAATAGATCCCTCGATCCGAGGTTCTGAGTCAAGGGCTCCTTCTTGCCGGCCTCGGCAGCGGCGGCATCGGGTATATGCGTAGAGACGGCCTTGTCATCCAGGGAGCCTTCGTAGCATCTCAAGGGTCCGCTAGTGCACTGATCGGTAATGTACGCCCACCACAGCGTTTGTCGCCGTTCGTGCAGCGTAACAACATCCTCTGCCGGTGCTAGAATACCTCCATCCGCAGGATTCTCTGCCAATCTGCCAGACACCTTGTCCAAACCTGTCACGCACAGACTACGAGTGATGGCGCTGCTCATGAAAAAGGCCTGCAAGACGAGTGGGCAGGAAAGGGGGGGGGGGCCGTCAGTCGGACATGACGAAGAAGCCGGCGCTTTACTCTACCCGACCGAGGCCCTTGGCGTTGCACGCACCTCGCTGAAGCGGATGTCCGACCAGAGCTCGTAGCACGCGATGATGGCCGCATTGATCCACTGCGTAGGATTGACGCTGTTCTTGAACACATTCTCCTCCACCTTGGCCACCGCCTGTCCCAGATGGTACTGCTTGAAGCTTCTTCCCTTTTCCTCAATCCTTGGTCGTTCGCTCGGATGACGCAAAAACGGGATGCGCCGATCGCCCTCTGGCGGTTTCTCCCCCAGCCTGTCGGAATTGTAAGGCGAGTAGATGCAAGCTGCGGCGCAAATGGCGTGGATCAGAGCGCTAGCTGGTCTCCAAGGCTTTTCAGCCGTCCATTCCCGCGCCCGATCAAACACTTGCTTGTTCACCAGCAGGCGCAGGGGATGATATTTGAAGAACAATTCGCAAAGGTGCGTGATTACGCTCCCATCTGGCAATTCGCGGTCCTGATCCGGCCACAGTTGCTGCGCAGTCGAATCGTTCAACGTCGTCTTTTGAAGGACGATGGGCAGATCGTCTGTCGGTCCAGGACCGTCGATGGGCGATAGAGCTCGATGGAGGGCATCGCTACCTTGAACGGCTCGGTGCGTGTCGATGGGTGGCCGCATTTCCGGATACCGCAGTCGCTGTCTTCGAGGCGGTCCGCTGCCTGCTACGGGCGAGAGCATAGCTTCGATGGGCACCGTATTTGTGCCCCATCTTCTACCCAATGCTCTGCCCCCCTCCTCCATCATCAGATCTGGCGTTGGCAATCTGGAAACGTCGTGCGACTCCATCGACCTGCTTTCCGCCATCCTTCTGATCTCTTCTTGCAATCTGGCACTACGCGCCAAGGCATCTTTCAGCTGCCGCTGCAGCACTATCACATCCTCCGATTGGTGCTGCTGCTGCTGCTGCTGCTTGGGCGCATCGCTCATCAGATTCCCGGCATCCGTCTCTGCTCTTCGACGTTTGGGACGCGTCAGCTTGAGGGAGCCAAAAGGAATGTCGGAATCGCCGTCGAGCGGAATGGGTACGCTGAGTCCACCGATCTCGGTGGAAAGCACATCGTCGTACTCGCAAGGTCTGTCTGGCACGGGGCAGGGATGATTGCCGCTAGCCGCGCTCGCAATCGACCTTCGACAAGTTCCACATTGAGGTCTAACGGCGTCGCACTTCATCTGTCGCAGTTCGCAGTCGAGATCGAGGGGGGGGGGGGGGGGGGGGGGT